CATATATATATATATATATATAATATATATATATATATATATATATATATATATATATATTATATATATATATATATATATAATATATATATATATATATATATATATATATATATAATATATATACATACACACATCATAATATATATGTATATATATATATATATATAATATATATATATATATATATATATATATATATATATATATATATATATATATATACATATACATATATACATATATAATACACATATGTATTTATACACAACATACACTACACAGACACAACAAATATATATATATATATATATATATATATATATATATATAATATATATATATATATACACACACACACACACACACACACACACACACACACACACACACACACACACACACACACACACACACACACACACACACACACACATACATATATATATATATATATATATATATATATATACTATATATTATATATATATATGTATGTTGTGTGGTGTGTGTGTGTGTGTGTGTGTGTGTGTGTGTGTGTGTGTGTGTGTGTGTGTGTGGTGTGTGTGTGTGTGTGTGTGTGTGTAATAGTATGTGTATATAATATATGTATATATATATATATATATATATATATATATATATATATATATATATATATATATGTATACATATTTGTATATATATATCTATATGAATATATATATATATATATATATATATATATATATATATATATATACATATAACATATATATGTATACATATATATTTATGCATACACATACACTACACATACACACCACTAATATTTATATATATATATATAATATATATATATATATATATATACATATAGATATAGATAGATAGATAGATAGATAGATAGATTAGATATATGATAGATAGATAGATAGGTAGATTAGTTATAATATATATATATATATATTATATATAATATATATATATATATTATTATATATATATATAGATATATATAGATAGATTAGATAGATTATGCAGATATAGATATCTTATATAGATACAGATATCAGTGTTCTGTGTATATATCTGTTTGGATATACATCTTATTAAGGAAATAGGCATATACACCTAATTCTGCCATTTTCTAGGTTCGCTCGATTCCAGCTCTCTATTTATTCTATCTATAGTGGCGGAAATGCACCTCACGGGTTGATGACTACTGGGGGTTGGGAGATAGAAGTGAGAGAAAAAAAAGAGAATTTAATTTCTTTGCATAAAAAAAAAAATGATCTCAATGTCACATCAAACACAATATGTTACGTGGAACACAACGTATTACAAAATGGTAGTGATTTTTAAACGAGTCGAACAATGTAGCATTCAATACACAATTATTATTCTATAGCCAATGATAATCAAAGGAAGGAAAACACGTGTCAATATATATACGTCGTTTTTCTCATTACTCATATATCTATCAAAAGTAATAATAATAAATAAATAAATAAGTAGATAAATAAGACAGTTCCTTCCATAGGAATACTAAGTAACATTTTCATATTTCATATATTTACAAGTGCTCTTTATTCTCCTAATCACACATGCAATTAGGGAGTGTTCTCCACCAATTACATGTTATATAATGTATATGTATTATATACATATATATATACCTACATATTTTTTTTCAAACTAGTTTCGCCTTCTCCGACTGTAAAAAAAGGTTCAAAAATTATATTCCAACTCCGCCTCCTCCATGAAACCTTTTACTTGTTATCTTATCACATATTCACCCTTGTACTCATCATTAGAGCATTAATTTCATTATTCGCTTTATCCCATACTTTTGTATTATTTGAATCAACTACCTTTTATGATCACTTCACTTTAATCATAACTACCTTCATATTCATAAGAGAGAGAAGAGAGAGAGAGAGAGAGAGAGAGAGAGAGAGAGAGAGAGAGAGAGAGAGAGATAGAGAGAGATAGAGAGAGAGAGAGAGAGAGAGAGAGAGAGAGAGAGAGAGAGAGAGAGAGAGAGAGAGAGAGAGAGAGAGAGAGAGAGAGAGAGAGAGAGAGAGAGAGAGCGAGAGAGAAAGAGAGAGAGAGAGAGAGAGAGAGAGAGAGAGAGAGAGAGAGAGGAGAGAGAGAGAGAGAGAGAGAGAGAGAGAGAGAGAGAGAGGAGAGAGAGAAGAGTGGAGAGAGAGAGAGAGAGAGAGAGAGAGAGAGAGAGAGAGAGAGAGAGAGAGAGAGAGAGAGAGAGAGAGAGAGGAGAGAGAGGAGAGAGAGAGAGAGAGAAGAGAGAGAGAGAGAGAGAGAGAGAGAGAGAGAGAGAGAGAGAGAGCAGAGTGATGAGCGAGAGAGAAAGAAAGAGAGAGAGAGAGAGAGAAAGCGGGGTAAGTTACACGTATACACAATCCCCAGAATAGTAATAAAATTAGATCAACCCTAATGCCGTTAATTAAGTAGCAAGAAAAACAATACACGCATAAAAAGTGCTACCTGTTTAACCATATTTCTGATCTACGTACAAAGGAAATATTACTTTGTCGTCGGATATGCTAACTCAACCTACAAGCTCTCCCACATGCTCGCTATAACCAAGGGTACAAAAGAAATAAGCAAATTGATTAAAATTACAAGAACCTGGAATCCAGTAGGATGACGGAGTATAATCAGACGGAACTCTGAAATGTCATCTATCATCTCGACCTTTTTATCAACTTCGCCGACAAAGGTTTCTGCAGCTCGCACCTGTCGGGGATGTCGGCTGGGGAGGGGAGGGAGGGAAGGAGGGGGGGAAGGGAGGGGGGAGGGGAGAGGGAGGGGAGGGAGAGGGGGGAGGGGAGGGGGAGGGGGGGGGGGATGTCGGGCTGAGGGAGGGAGGGGAGGGGAGGGAGGGGGCAAGTTAGGGACAGGGAGGGAGGGAGAGGGAGTGGCAGGGGAGAGTGGGTAAGGGGGGGAAGGAAGGGTGAAGGGTACGGGAGGGGTGGGCAGGGAAGGGGGGGAGGAGAAGGGCTGGTGGTCGAAGGGAAGGGGGGGAGGGATGGTAAGGGGAGGGGCAGGGAGGGTGAGGGAAGGGGAAAGGAGGGAGTGGGTGGAGAGGAAGGTGGGAAGGGTGGGAGGGGGCTAGCGGCTGAGGGAGGGGAAGGGCAGGGGGGAGGGAGGGGGGAGGTACTGGGTGGTTGAGGCGGGGAGGGGAGAGATCAAGGGCTCGGCTGAGGAGTGGAGGGTCATGGGATCAGGGACTGTCAACTGAGAGAGGTGGGGGAGGGGGGGATGAAAGGGATGGGAAGGGTAATCGGCAGGGGAGGGCAAGGGAAGCGGGAGGGGTAGCTGGCCAGGGGAGGGGAGGGAGTCGGGGAAAAAGATTATCGGCTGAGGGTTTCTCGGATTGGGTAGGGGAGGGAGGGAGGGAGGGAGGGTGAGAGGAGGAGCCATAGAAGGAGAGGGAGGGAGGGAAGGAGGGAGGGAGGGAGGGAGGGAGGGGAGAGGAGGAGCATAGGGGAGAGGGAGGGAGGGGAGGGAGGGAGAGTGAGAGGAGGAGCCATAGGGAGAGGGAGAGAGGGAAGGAGAGGGGGAGAAAGAGAGTGAGAGAGAGAGGGGGCTGAGTGAGGGGGAGGAGGGGAGAGAGTCACAGCACGTGGCTTCAGTCTTGATGAATCTTGCTAATTTGCGGTGACCAGTAGGGGGTCAAGGGGGGGGGGGGGAGGGGAGGGTAGAGAGCGAGGGAAGTTGAGGGACGAAGGGAAATGCAGAAGACAAGGGAAGACGAAACGATTATGATGTTCGAAAAAGGACAAGAAGATGAGAGGCATGGAAACGGGAAGCAAGAGTATTCAAAAGAGCAGATATGTATATGTATGTATATATGTATATATATATATATATATATATATATATATATATATATATATATATATATATATATATATATATATATATATATATATATATATGTGTGTGTGTGTGTGTGTGTGTGTGTGTGTGTGTGTGTGTGTGTGTGTGTGGTGTTGTGTGTGTGTGTGTGTGTGTGTGTGTGTGTGTGTGTATACATATGTATGTATGTGTGTATATATGCATTATACTTATTTACATAGATATAACACACACCACACACACACACACACACACACACACACCACAACACACACACACAGAAGAGGAGAGAGAAGAGAGAGAGGAGACGAGAGATTAGAGAGAGACGAGAGAGAGAGATGAGAGAGAGAGAGAGAAGAGGAGAGAGAGAGAGAGAGAGAGTGAGGAGTGAGAGTTGAGAGTGAGAGAGAGAGAGAGAGAGAGAAGAGAGAGAGAGAGAGAGAGAGAGAGAGAGAGAGAGAGAGAGAGAGAGAGAGAGAGAGAGAGGAGAGGAGAGAGAGAGAGAGAGAGATAGAGAGATAGATAGATAGATAGATAGATAGATAGATAGATAGATAGATAGATAGATAGAGAGAGAGAGAGAGAGAGAGATAGCTATATTGGCATTGTACATATGCAAATAGACAAGAGGTGCCACAGAAACAGAAATAGTTTTACAATTAACTAAAGGATCTCTCTCTCTTTCTCTCTTTCTCCTCTTCTATGTGTCTTTGACTGTCTGCCTGGCTATCTCTTTGTCTATCTATCTGTCTGTCTGCTTATCCGTCTGTGTGTCTCTCTTCTCTTCTCTCTGATCTTTTTTTTTTTCTCTTCTCTCTCTCTATTTCTCTCTGTCTGTCTGTCTCTCTCTATCTCTCTGTCTATCTTTCTCTCTCTTTCTCTTCTCTTCTGAGTTCTCTTTTTTTCTTATTTCTTCTTCTTCTTCTCTCTCTCTCTCTCTCTGTCTATCTCTTCCTGTCTGTCTTTATCCTCGACAATCAAACAAAGGCTGGAAAGTTGTGTCAACATTGATTCACATCTCTTGAGAACAAATAGAGCTAAATGTACCAGCAGACTGCTTAACAGGACCCGAGCACACGGAGAAGTCTTTATGTGTATTAATGCGATACATTAGGTCTGCTTAGTGATGTGTTATAATGCCCCGGTTGGAAAGATACAATGAATCGTCAGAAACAGGGCCAAGTGTAGGCGAATTAAGTGCCTACTTAGGGCCCTCGGAGGTACCAGAAGGCCCTAAGAAGAATCTGATTTTTATTGTATAGTATTTTAATCATGTATACAAGTATTATTATACTGATATTTGATAACCATGTATACAAATATTATCTCAAACAAGAGTTATTAGACTGATAACTGATAACCATGCTTACAAGTAACATCATACTGTAGGGTTGGTTAAGTAAGACTAGAAGCTTAATCAGTATCATCAGCATTGGTTCATATGGTGTAACCAACTAGGAAAATTTAATAGTTCTTATACCTGAACCGTAGCCAGCTCTTTTTGAATGAATCTGTCTTCCAATGAACATCCAGTGATAAGTAGCATTTAAACAACTAGTTTAATCCAATTTTGTCGAATCCTTCTCAACCTTGAATATAATAGCGAGGGTAAAGGAAAGTCGCTCACACTTTTGACACTGTATTTATGGCAAAGGTTTTGATACAGAGAACACAAGAGGATGTGTCTCTCTCAATCTGTCAGTCATTCTGCCAACCTGTCTGAGTCTCTGAGTGAAGGAAACAGCTAATAGAGAGGTGGAGTTTATAAGCCTGGGCGTTACATAAAACATAAACAGATTTGTAGCCATCAGTACCTGAAGTTTTCGAGAAAGACAAAGGTTAGAGGTCGCAGATCATCACACCCACTCCTCATGTTTTCTTTATGACAGTATGAAGTGTCTAAGATATGAAATTTTAGCCTTTTTATACAATAAAATAAGAAAGAGAAAAAAAAGGAAAACGAAATCTCACATATGTTTCATAACACAATTTGATTATCAGTTGATACATAATACATTTATCACACAAATACAAAAAAGAACTATCCATTGGCACACATGGGTCATTTTCCAATTCACTATACAGTGCGAGTGTACTATGTTTCCCCACAGAGTCCACTGTGTCCTCCCGCATAGTCTACTGTGTTCTGTCACATAGTCTATCGTGATCTCCCACAGATTAAACTGTGTTCTCCCACACAGTCTATCTACACAGTCTACTGTGTTCTCTCACAGATCCTACCGTGTTCTCCCACATAGTCTATGTCTCTGCTCTGTGTTCTCCCACACAGTCTACTGTGTTCTCCCACACAGTCTACTGTGTTCTCCCACACAGTCACTGTGTTCTTTCTACTGTGTTCTCCCACACAGTCTGTGTTCTACAGTCTACTGTGTTCTCCCACACAGTCTACTGTGTTCTCCCACACAGTCTACTGTGTTCTCCCACACAGTCTACTGTGTTCTCCCACACAGTCTACTGTGTTCTCCCACACAGTCTACTGTGCAGTCTACTGTGACACAGTCTACACAGTCTACTGTGTTCTCCCACACAGTCTACTGTTTCTCCCACACAGTCTACTGTGTTCTCCCACACAGTCTACTTTGTTCTCCCACACAGTCTACTGTGTTCTCCCACACAGTCTACTGTGTCTCCCCACACAGTCTACTGTTCTCCCACAGTCTACTGTGTTCTCCCACACAGTCTACTGTGTTCTCCCACACAGTCTACTGTGTTCTCCCACACAGTCTACTGTGTTCTCCCACACAGTCTACGTGTTCTCCCACACAGTCTACTGTGTTCTGCTGTGTTCTCCCACACAGTCTACTGTGTTCTCCCAACAGTCTACTCCCACACAGTCTACTGTGTTCTCCCACACAGTCTACTGTGTTCTCCCACACAGTCTACTGTGTTCTCCACACAGTCTACTGTGTTCTCCCACACAGTTTCTCACTGTGTTCTCCCACACAGTCTACTGTGTTCTCCCTCTGTGTTCTCCCACATTCACTACTGTGTTCTCCCACACAGTGTTCTCCCACACAGTCTGTGTTCTCCCACACACTGTGTTCTCCCACACAGTCTACTGTGTTCTCCCACACAGTCTACTGTGTTCTCCCACACAGTCTACTGTGTTCTCCCACACAGTCTACGTGTTCTCCCACACAGTCTACTGTGTTCCCCACACAGTCTACTGTGTGTGTGTTCTCCCACACAGTCTACTGTGTTCTCCCACACAGTCTACTGTGTTCTCCCACACAGTCTACTGTGTTCTCCCCACACACTACTGTGTCCCACACAGTCTACTGTGTTCTCCCACACAGTCTACTGTGTTCTCCCACACAGTCTACTGTGTTCTCCCACACAGTCTACTGTGTTCTCCCACACAGTCTACTGTGTTCTCCCACACAGTCTACTCTCCACACAGTCTACTGTGTTCTCCCACACAGTTCTCCCACACAGTCTACTGTGTTCTCCCACACAGTCTACTGTGTTCTCCCACACAGTCTAGTTTCTCCACACAGTCTACTGTGTTCTCCCACACTACTGTGTTCTCCCACACAGTCTACTGTGTTCTCCCCACACAGTCTAACTCCCACACAGTCTACTGTGTTCTCTCCCACACAGTCTACTGTGTTCTCCACACAGTCTACTGTGTTCTCCCACACATCTACTGTGTTCTCCCCACAGTCTACCGTGTTCTCTCACTGATCTGTGTTCTCCCACACAGTCTACCGTTCTCCCACCAGTCTACTGTGTTCTCCCACACAGTCTACTGTGTTTCTCCCACACAGTCTACTGTGTTCTCCCACACCTGTTCTCCCACACAGTCTACTGTGTTCTCCCACACAGTCTACTGTGTTCTCCCACACAGTGTGTTCTCCCACACTCTACTTGTGTTCTTTCTACTGTGTTCTCCCACACACTCTACTGTGTTCTCCCACACAGTCTATGTGTTCTCCCACACAGTCTACTGTGTTCTCCCACACAGTCTACTGTGTTCTCCCACAAACAACTGTGTTCTCCCACACAGTCTGTGTTCTCCACACAGTCTACTGTGTTCTCCCACACAGTCTACTGTGTTCTCCACAGTGTTTCTCCCACATGTCTACCGTGTTCTCTCACTGATCCTGTGTTCTCCCACACAGTCTACCGTGTTCTCCCACACAGTCTGTGTCCACACAGTCACTGTGTTCTCCCACACTGTGTTCTCCCACACAGTCTACGTGTTTCTCCCACATACTATTCTACTGATGTTTCTCCCACACAGTCACTCCCACACAGTCTACTGTGTTCTCCCACACAGTCTACTGTGTTCTCCACACAGTGTGTTCACACAGTCTACTGTGTTCTCCACACAGTCTACTGTGTTCTCCCACACAGTGTACTGTGTGTTCTCCCACACAGTCTACTGTGTTCTCCCACACAGTCCACTGTGTTCTCCCACACAGTCTACTTGTTCTGTGTGTTCTCCCACACAGTGTGTTCTCCCACACAGTTACTGTGTTCTCCCACACCAGTTCACTGTGTTCTCCCACACTCACTGTGTTCTCACACACACTGTTTCTCCCACACAGTGTTCTCCCACACAGTCCACTGTGTTCTCCACACAGTACTGTGTCCCACCACATCTGTGTTCTCCCCACACAGTACTGTGTTTCCCACACAGTCACTGTGTGTTCTCCCACCACACTGTGTTCTCCCACAGTCCACTGTGTTTCTCCCACACAGTACTGTGTTCTCCCCACAGTCACTGTGTTCTCCCACACAGTCACTGTGTTTCACACACCATCTGTGTTCTCCCACACAGTGTGTTCTCCCACACAGTCCACTGTGTTCTAACACAGTCCACTGTGTTCTCCACACACACTCCCACACAGTGTGTTCTCCCACACAGTCCACTGTGTTCTCACAGTCACACACAGTCCACTGTGTTTCTCCCACACAGTCCACTTGTTCTCCCACACATCCACTGTGTTCTCCCACACATTCCACTGTTGTTCTCCCACACAGTCCACTGTGTTCTCTCACAACCACTGTGTTCTCCACCCATACTGTGTTCTCCCACACAGTCCACTGTGTTCTCCACACAGACACTGTGTTCTACTAAAAGCACTTTGTTCTCACAGCATCATCATTAGAACCCTATGATTGTCTTTATCAACATCAAAATATTACCGAACACAGGAAAAGAATCCTAGACTTAAGTGACACAAATTGTGTAGTCCTGTGTTCATTCTATATTTTTTCAAATGTAAATCTATGTTGTTCTCCCTCTACTGTTTACAATGTATACCTATGTTGTATCCTAAATTTGAAATGTAGTAACACAGGACCACATAAATATTACAATGCCTTTCCACGCCCAAACTGTACGCCGGCTTGGTAGATGAGTAGGTAAATGACTGTGATTATTATTTTCTTTTAAATGACATACGGCAGATCGTAATAATGTTATAGCATATAATACTACTGTATAATGCTACGACTACCTATCAAATGTACCACAGCTTCCCTACACCTCTGCAATTAGCCAGGGTGGTAGATAAAAGACTAAACTGAGCTAAACTAAAGAAATTCGGTTACACAGTGAATTATGATATAGGAAGATATAACGTTGTCACACCCACCCATTATTATTCTTTAATAACCCTTTTCAAGTGCTGTATTATGTGTACTGTAAGATAATGAGATAAGAATGAATAAAATGAAACAAAGATTTTAGTACTGTTACCATAGAGAATCATTTGGGAAACTACAAAGCAGATTACACTTCTTACTTGACGTACTATATCTGGTCGTCCTGTTAATTAGAGTCAGAAAAAAGGTTTTAGTCAGACGTCAGATACGACACAACTTCTTGACCCGATTCAGATGTCATCCTATTTTCCCGCAGAATTCTTTAAATTAGGCATATTTAGGTTTATTGTGCTCTACACTCCAGCGGAAGCACTCGGTGTCCAAAGTCTTCGTTTTATTCCATATCCCCTGTCTGTAGCAATTACCTTGAAGGATTGTATGTAGCAAGTATGAACCTTTACTAGGTTGGGTAGAAAGAAAAAAAAAAAAAAAAAAAAAAAAAAAAAAACAGCACCATGAAAGCAACATACCACTTACATATACAAGAGCACTCAGCAACAACAAAATTGTATGTAGAAACATCTCGGATATACGAAGAAGTAAACACAATCTGTAAACAAAAGATCAGCAATACATTCGCAGACGCCCAGAAGAAATGCAAATATAAAGACAAAGACAAGTAAACAAACAAACACACACACACTGCATCTTATCAAACAGCTACCCTCACGGGCATGATTTGAGGAACAAAGGGAAAGTCCGCAGAGGTGCTTTTAAAAGTCAAAAGGAAATGATATTGCAATTGATGTGGCCCTACATGTATGATACACTGGGTATTATACACGTAATGAATAGGCAGATGTGCATGTGCGCGTCAAATATAAAGTCAAACACACGTAAGTAGCAGAGTAATGCAAAATATATTCCAAGATTACCAGCTGGATATCCTACAGGACTTTGCGTATGACTTTGAAGGCAAGCGGTGCAGTGCCTATGATACCAGGGAAGTTAAATAAATCATACAGCTAAAAACTGTAATGCCAGTGAAAAAAGGGACACGGAATTTCCAGAAACCTTCGTGGGAATTGATTTCGGATATGTACAACAACCTCCATTTTACCCGTTCGTAGTTAACACGCCTGTAAAGACGCCACTGCAGCCGGCCACTACTATATTTAGCCGTCCATGAGTCAACACTTAATGCCACCTAGAGGCCACATATTCCAACTGTTGATAGTCGCTGTTTCTAAACCTGGATAAACAAGTAGATGTAATGTTATATCTCTGCAGCAGATAAAACCCGATACAGGGGGCTCAAGGCGAAACCCCTCCATGTAGCTACCCCGTTCGTTCATGCGTCCATACTTCAAGCACACTGCAGTTAAGCCGTGCGTGTTTCTTTCTGAAATTTACGTTTCGAAGCCAATTCTTTCCTTTTATACTCGTCGCCTGTGTAATTGTCACGTAAGGTCGATTGTCGTGCGAAAAGTTCCTATGTTTCGCTATTATTTTGATATAGTCTTGAGGAAAATCATTAACGGATTCTCTTTATACCACCCTCAGGTGTTCTTTCAAATCCACTTTTATATCACTTATTTTTGCTTTAATGATGATGTTTTCTCGATATAATCTTTGTAAATAGTGTGATCAATTTGGAAGTTTTCTTGATTCCATTTTTATATGTATATATATATTTTTACGGTGTGCTATTTGTAGTATTTCATGTACAATTTTCATGATTGTTATCATCATCTACAAAAGAATTTGATAGTAATATTATCAAGATTATTATTGTTTTTATTATCATTACTGTTGTTACTACTACTATGATTATCATTATTATTACTGTTATTATTACTATTATTCTTGTTATTTTTATCGTAATCATTATCACAATGTTATTATCATCATCATATTATTATTATTGTTACTTTTATTATTACCATTAATATCATTATTATTATTATCATTATTATTGTTGATGTTATTATCATTTCTATTTTCATTATTATTATCATTATTGTTATTGTTATTATCATTACCATTATTTTCATCATTGTTATTATTATCATCACTAATTATTATCATTATTATTATCATTACTCTTACAATTATTATCATTCTTCATATCATTGTTATTATTGTCATCATCAGTAGCATTCTTCTTATAATTCTTATTATTAATATTATTCTTATTCTTATTATCAATATCATCATGATTATCATTATTATTGTTATTACTATTATTGCTATTATTGTTATTATGATTACTATTATTATTTTATCATCATCATCATTATCAGTATAATTTTTATTATTGTTATTATTCTTATTGTTATTATTACCATCATCATCATCATCATTATCATTATTTTGTTATCATTCTTATTTCTAATCATTATGATTTATTATCATTGATACTATTAGAGTTTCATTATCATTTTCATTGGCATCATTATCCTTATTATTATTACTGTTATTATTATTACTATCATAATTTTCATTATTATAATATAATAATAATTATTATAATCAATATTGTTATTATTATTTTTTTGTTGTTGTTGTTGTTGTTTTTGTTGTTATTATTATTATTGTTATCATTATTATTATTATTATTATTATTATTATTATTTATCATTATTATTATTATTATTATTATTATTATTATTATTAATCATTATTATTATCATTATTATTGTTCTTCTTATTAAGACCTACATCATCATCACCATCGCATCATTTTTATTCTCCTTCTCCTTACTATCATTATTTCTATGTCTTAGAATCATCATTGGTATGCTTGTTATTGTTATCACCATAGTCATTCTTATTCTTTTAATGATTATTACTATTTCATCGTTATCATTTTTATGATTATATTTATAATCATCATCATAATTACTCATAATATTGTCATTTTCTCTTTGTCATCATCATCATCATCATCATCATTATTTCTTTCTTTGTCATCATCATCATCATCATTATCATTATCAATTCCATCGTTACTACGATAATCCATACTGTTATTATTATCATTATTGATATTATCATTGATA